TTCTCCTCCACAATCTTCAGTGGCACTCTGCCCGTTCAGTGTGTGTACGTACACACTCGGCTCCTGCCGCCCCGTCCACCCCATACAGCTGTCTGTTACGCCGCTGTCTCGCCTAACACTTGCTTTGTCTTCACCAGTCTATCAAGTAAAAACAAATCTCGTTTCACGCGTCGATTACGTATGAGTTTGATGGTGGTCTCACTGAAAAAGAAGAAACACGGCTGTCTCCGAAGTCCATCGAGTGATCGACCTTGGCGAACAAAGAGGCAAAGAAATTTTAATTCCTAGATATGTATTTGTCACGCGGAGAAATTCCGTTGGCAAGAACTGAATGGAGATGAATGCAACTTTAAGAACCGTCGCGAAGAGCAACGAAAATGCAAAGATTACGAAGACGATAGAGAGAAAAGATGCTGTTTGTATTAGCCGACAAAATCGATTGTTCCGCCTGGAGCTCTTGTCCGCTCAATTGGCTGTTCATGCGTCTGGCGAGGGAACGAAGGAAAACTCGACCTCTGGAAATGATTGAAATCGCCCGTCGAGACGGAAAAGTCTTACTCTGACTTTGCGTTTCGCTCGAATAACCGAGACCTACCAGGTGCGCCGCTCAATCCATTAATAAACTTTTATTGACAACGTTACAGATCTATTGTTACGCAATAAAGGGAAAAAAGTCAGGATCGAATTTTAAAAGAAGGAATGGTCGCAGCGAACACGATATTGACCGTTATTTCGATGGTGGCCTTAGAACGCGTTTCTCTCGGCCGGCCATTGAAAATCTGGAAGAGAGCTCGGCCTTGCGATGGAAAGAAAAGCCCGCGCCTCAGCGCGAACGAACGAGAGAGAGAGAGAGAGAGAGAGGGAGAGAGAGAGAGAGAGAGAGAGAGAGAGAGAGAGAGAGAGAGAGAGAGAGAGAGGGAGAGAGAGAGAGAGAGAGAGAGAGAGAGAGAGAGAGAGAGAGAGAGAGAGAGAGAGAGAGAGAGAGAGAAGAGCTTGCAAGATAGTTGGGCGAAACGGAAAATAGCTTCTTATCGGCAGCCACGATCGAAGGACGACCAGGAAGAAACGAAGAGCGCGAGATTTATCGTCTCGCTCGGCGCTGTTTCCGACAGGAGTAGCCGGCACACCTGGTGTACGTATGCGCGTGGGTATGTGTGAGCGGCTCCCGAATCTGAAAGATTTATGCGCTGGACGCGCTCTTTCTCTCTCTCCTGTAGCGTGTGCTATATGATTCCGTCGACGCTGCCTTTCACCCTGGCCACTTGCCCCCCGGGGCTCTAGCATCCTCTCTTTCTCTCGACTGTATATCCTCTCGGCGCCTAGTTGTTCGCTCGCGAAATAATCAGAATTCGCCCCTTTCGACGGCGCTTTACAAAACTGCGAGGTCTCGCCCAATGCTCGTTCCTCGCAATGCTGATACGCGGCCGCTGAGCCGTCGCAAGCCTCGCGCAAGCTCTCCGCGCGGAAGTTTCATCGCAGCGGAAGTAATAAAAATTGCACCGGCTGTGCTGCTGGCGAATGGCGTGGGACGTTTTTTTCGTGTTTGCAATTGCGATTGCAGCGGGCAGGCTGACGCAGGAGCGATTGACGCGACACCGCGGGAGTTTTTACGCTGCCAAGCCTCGCGCGCACTGCTGCTCGCAGACACGGACAGACGGCGGGGCGAAAAAGCTGCGGCCGCTGTCCGCGTCGGCGACGCACTCGCTGCCGTTCTCTCTCGTCGCAACTTCATCCGATTAGAGTGGCTAGTCGCGCTGTTCTCAAACGCCCCGTCGCGAGTTTTCTCACTTCTTGCTGCTGCCGCCGCCGTCGCCTGTGCAACGTCATCGCAAAGCTATAGAGCGGCGTGCCGTGCTGCCAGCATTGCGCCTCTTGCTTTATTTATGCATGCACGTGGTGCGTCGCTAGCGAGCCCGAGCGGACCAATGAAAAGCTCGCTCTGCCTTAACACGAGCTCGCGAATGAATAAAATAGCGGCTTATTTTCTCTGCTGGCGAAAAACAGAGGAATGCCACTTCTCCGTGTGTTCGTCTGCACGGGGCCGCTTTATTTTCCATCTGGGGACAGGCCGACCAATCCCGTCCCCTGGCCCCCTTCGCCGCCCCGAGAATCTCATTATTCAAAGTATGCGCGCGCGCAGCTTTCAATGAGACGCACTGTAATAGCACGCCCAGCCAGCATTCAAATGGGATTCAGCTGTCGAGCTTTTCAGCCGCATTGTATCCAGCATTACTTTCCAGTATCCTGGCGCTCCAAGTGCACATTTTTTTTCGTTGTTCTGTCAAAAGCTACACCTCGCTAACGAACACATCAAAGTGCTTTGTTATTTTCGGCATAAGCTTTACACGGGCTTTCCTTCTCAGCTCTTTCCAAGCCATCATTCGACAAAATTCCAGTAGCCTCTCCGAAGGACACTGACACGCCTTGCCTGATCGACCAAACTGATAGAGTTATCGGTGCGCATTTGCGCGACGCCGAGTCTAGCTTGCATGCTGACGATGGAATTCATGAGCGAAGAAACAGTTGGGTCAAATTTGAACGAGAGATAATACAGCAGCCCTACGGTACCAAGTGTTTATCAGCGCGACCTAGTTAAGGTGCTTGGGCAAAGTAGTGCTGCGCATTTTGCCAGCGAAACTTTTCAATTAGCATGCGGTTTGGTTAATTGAGTGCTGCTCATTTCCGGGAGATCGCGCCCACCAGTCGTACAGTCTTTATCCGTGTCGGCGACATCGATTGCTGCGGCCACACGATACGAACTCGCTGAGCGTCTGCAGGTGTGCACAGAACGCACGGGCCTCCTTTGTCCGCCTTGTCTGCGGGACTCGCAACGGGGCTGTTTTTGTCGGCGCGCGAACGATCTCGACGCGTCGCGTGCTCAATTAGCGTATACGCTAACGCCTCCTTCGAGTAGACGAGTAGATGCAGGCACGGGCGCGTCGTCGGCGCCGCCGTTAATCGATTGCGACTACTTGCTGCTCCTTGCGCTCCGCCAATCGATACCTTCCTTCGTGCTATTAACGTTCCTCCTTCGACAGCGGCTACAAACAGTACAGCTGCGTCACAGCAAATGCACTTAAATGCTCGAAAGGAATGAGAAGGTGAAGCGCGTCCTTGGGCAAAATGCCCTTTCGGTTTTGCCGAGTGTTTTCCTTTGCAAACAGTTTTAGTGTGATTCCATTCACAAGACTTCTTTTAATAGACCGCAGAATCATCCTATCCTATCTTATACTTAACCAAATCTTCAGCACTTTACATCTTTGATGAAACCCTTTTATTTTTTGATAAATTTCAAAATGATATTGCTGGTCTATGTTTAGTTAGATTGAAATAGTGTTTCTGAGCACGAAATTATCAATAATTGCATTGCTAAAGAAATTATAATTTCTCAATCAAATGCTAGTTAATGTTTGTTCGCTCGTTAATGCTTGCTCGCTTTCGAGATTGTATATGCACGAACGCTTTTGTATATTTCAAACTGCAAGTAAGCTAATGAAACAGTTAGATATTACTAAACTTATTCCATGCATCAAAGAAGTCGATCGAACAATCGAATTATCGATCTGAGAAGACAAGATTTTTCAGATGGAAGAAAAACAAGCAAGAATATTCATTGCGCGGTTTCCTTAGTTATAAATTAATTTTTCAAGTAAATATTACAAGGGCATAAGAAAATCATTGCATTTTAACTATAAGTCAATATGTTAACTATTCTTCATGTATCTTTATATATGGAAATAACAGTCCTATTGTGCTAAGAAGACTTTAAATTGGAGTAAATCTCTGTTATAAAAAAAATCTTACGACAAGAACACTCCTTTGTATTAAAAATATTTTCCCTTGCTACAAGAAAATCGTTTTGTTACAAAAGAATATTGTGTTGCATTAACCGGGAAATTCTCTTATACCAAGCGCAGTCTTTTTCTTAAAAAGAGATTTTTTTTCAGTGCAGTTTCAATATGTGATTTATTATATCGGTGTAACCAATAACAAATTTTTATAATTTTTCTTTTAGTCGATAATGTACATCAATCAGTAAACGTGCATCGACGTAAAAACTGGAAAAATTGATCTCTCAAAGAGAATTTCCTTTCAATAAAAAAAATTACTTTATCACAAGACTATTTCTCCGGTAACGAGAAAATATTCTCTTAAAACAAAAGGATTTCAACTTTATTGGTAGCTACATTAAGTGGAGTATCGTCTATATCCCTTCTCTTGTTTTTCAGAGTTATTTTTGTTACACAGTCTCTACCAATTATCAAAATTGTCCTTCCTGATTCAAGGTTTATTTATAATAACAATTATAAATAAGCTTTTGACATAGTCAATTAAATCTTTAAGCTTTTACATTGAAAACTGAGCAGTCTTATAACATAATCAGTAAATGACGTAAAAATTTCTTTTTTAATCACAAAATGTTTACTTTTTCTTTATTCTAATAATTCATGCTTTTCTCTATACCTCTTTGATAAATCTTAAGTCAAAACTAATAAATTCTAAATCCCGTACTTGTGAATAGATATATGTACGTAAATAGAAATGCGTACGCTTAGCTTGTATACAGAGAAAATATCAGCGGTGCTTTTGGTTTCATACAGATAATGATACGTTATCACTAAGTGCAACCAATGATTGATTCTGGGAAGACCTTGTTAAAAAACCCAATTATCACTGGATGTATTTGAAAATTATAGAATATTTTTATAAATACATTTTAACTTTTACAAACATAATGAACTAATTCATTAAATTAACTAACGGAATGAGTGTTCACAATATTAAAAAAATAATACGAAAAAATTTATATTTTACTGTCCCAAGTAAGATTCTAAAAATTCATGAAAGCATTAAAATTAATTTTTGTGAAAATTTCTTTTGTTAGACAGTTGATGTGAAAAGCGTAGAGAGCCGGATGAAACATTTTCTAATTATCACGATGTATCTACCTACCTAATTTTTATTTATTTACTGCGGTTTGTTTCGTATGAATTATCCTATCAGGTATTAGATTCTATGTCTACATCTTCATCGCTAGAATATTCTTTTCTTTCCCATGTATGAGCGCGATTTTGAGCTGTTCCACTCAAATTATTGTCCTTATCAGCTTTGGACGCGTTATCATTTGATGCACTAATTTTCTTATCTTCTTTGATGTGACGCCATTTCATTCGACGATTTTGAAACCACACCTTCACCTGAAATTAAAAACATGTAAAATCGTAAATACGTTAATAAACTCATCAGAATGTGTAACTCACTTGAGCATCGGTCAAACCGAGCGTTGCAGCTAATTGTCGCCTATCAGGTTTAGTAATGTATTTTTGAAGAGCAAATCGCTTCTCTAGTCCTTTACGCTGTAATGAGCTAAAAACTGCTCTTGACCAAGGCCTTCGTCTACAATAAGCAGTCCCAATACGGGTATCAGAAGTCGTGGTAGATACACATTCTGAAAATAGATGATAATCTTTATTCTTCATTATTTTTGCAAAAGCATTTCTTTTGTCAGATCTAAATTGAAAATCTCATTCAATAACAAGAATGAAATGCAGATGAAGATCAAATGAAATGTTCCGCGAAGGATCATAAAATGAAATTCTCAAAAACAATTAGGTGTCTGCGTTTGGAGATCAAGCACTCGCCTTAGCAAGAGCAATAATCAAAATAAGCATGTAGATGAAAAGCCTCTTCGGAATGTCTATTTAGACGACAGTACCTATTCTTGGGCTTGAGTAGCGATAACAGCACAGCGATCACTTTTATTTCAAGTTACAAACGCTTTAAGATCCATCACACGAGGTACTAGTCAACTTATATTACTTGAGCAAGATCCTTTTCAGAAATATACCAAGTTTTTTAAACTTTGATGCTGTTTAACTTACGTAATTTGTAATGTTTAAAGATTTTCCTTTCAAATACAGAAATATAATAATATGAATTCAGAAATAAATGTTTCTGAATACGATAATTTTTTACGAATCTCTTCTGCGTACTTATTGCTATTAATGATGTGTTCGCAAATGATACTAATTTTTTAATAGTTTTATCATTTTGTATTACTACTACTTGATGATTAGTTTAACGGTAGTTTATATAAGAACGATTTTAAAGCGAAAGGTAATCATCTTGTATCGCTCGGAAAATCTTGAGAAGTAGTTGTAATATTTGAACTATTTCTATAAGAGCAAAAATGAAAATATTGTAATTTTTGAAGAATGATTTATTCTGACAAGACGCGGTTTTGCACTGGCATGATTTATAAGTAACAGCTTAGCAATTTATATGTGTAACGCGCGCATGCCTATGTAATTTTGTAGTGTAAATTCAATTGCATAAATGGATCCGATAAAGCTTTCTGAAACGATTACAAGATCCGCTGACGAAACGCTAAAGTAGAAACAATAAGTCAATAACATCTGATTTATATTTTATTTAATTTACCTATACTGATAAATAAACAAAATATCATACATAATGTTATTTTATTGCTGTAATGTTGTATTATTCAAACGAAAATCTATGAAAATATTATTTACCTTTTGGTGTAGGTCGAAAAGCTGCTGGTCTAATGATATTACTGCTATTCCGAAATATATGTCCATGACTGTCCCTGATTACGTTGAATTGGGGGTGTTGATCATATGAGCCATTTATGTTACTTTCAAATAAGTTAGATGTCTTATAGCTATCGGCATAAGGATACGACATTGAAGGCCCGGGCAATGAATACTGTCTTGGATTAGCTATCGATGTAACAAAACATATACGAAACTTGTAGTAATATTTACTATTAAATTACGTCTTTTTGTTACTGTTATAATTTTTAAAAATATTCCATTTTCTAAGCTAAATATGTTGATAAAATTTTGTATTATTTTTATACAAGTAGCAGATAATATTTCAAAAGTGCTTCGTCATAGCTCATTCCAAATTGTATTTTTTACTATTTTAAATGATAAGCTTAAATGATAAATTTTGTAATAATGGAAAGAAGGGAAATGGTGAGATATGGAAATTCACTTAATTTTATTATATTCGGAACGCACATCAAAGTATCATTAACATATCTATAGTGGAAAACAGGATTAATTTGATATTTATTTCACAACACGTTCAGGCAGTGTTTTTCTAAGTCTTCCATTACAATATAATAAAAATATAATTAAAAAAATTGACTCAGATACAGTAGTAGCTACACATAGAAGAACTCTCTCACACGAATTCGACTAGGACAAAGCTAAGATATTAGATTATAAAAAGAATTATAAGAAACGCAGAATATCCAAATGTTGCACTTTGGCTTACATAAAAACACTTTAAATAGAAAAGAGGATATACAATATCTTAGTCATATTTATAAGCCTTTATTGAGATCGATGAGGAAGGGATGATAGATGAAGAATTTATATATATGTGTTGAAATATTAAATTTCTTACTGTATTGTAACGTGACTGGCTACGAGCTATTCGTTTTAGCCTATAATAATTTGACTACGAGAGAAATCAGGTACACATATATACATATAATTATATGCCATTAAAATTACATTTGCAACTTTATTGTTAATAATTTGTTGTTTTTCTGTTACTAAAGCCTGAAGAGGTCAGCAAATGTGCTGACGAAACGTTGCTGAATATAATTAAAATTAAATGAATTTCCATCTCTCACTATTTTCCTTTTTTCCATTATTACAAAATTTATCATTTAATTGACACATTATTGAGAAGGGGTGGCAAAGGGTAGGGTGTGCCGATTGTACTATGCAATTTCAGTTAGTTGATAAGTGCATTTTTAGATGGCAGATTAAGTGCAACATTTATTTTTAAATTTATTATCATTGTTTAAACATTTTAATTATGAAATTGTTATATCCCAATAGGAGAAAAGAATTATATTTACTTACGAGGTTCACCCGTCGTGGCATCTTTGGAAAGTATCCTATCTATACTAAAAGTCAATTGCTTCACATCACTATTTCTTACCGTCATTGTGATTTAAAGAACAGTTAAGAATATAAAATCGAAGTAGCGATAGAAAACAAATTATATAGTTCGAATAAGTGACATTGTTATTCCACTGAAAATTTGTAATTAAAAGAAAATAATATAGAACGCGAAAGCGATGCAAGGATGACGGTTGCTCAACTAGCTCTGGAGAAATTTTCTTTTTGAGGAAAGAGCATCGTCTCCGCGGTAAAGTGCTGTGTTCTGATTCGCTTAGGCTCATTTGGTAGGCGTTACACATGTAGGGGTACAGCTTAGTATGAGTTTAAAGAGCACTGTTTGGAAGATGCTGCATAAATAAACACTAAAGGCACATTGTTGTTAAAAATAGCCGTTTCAAAACGGAACATTATCTTTGAGTCATTCCAAACACTTACTTTATTTACATCGTTGATGATCATGTATTTTTTAACTAAGATTCATAGTTTTTGTAATCTCTCGTATTCTTTTAAAATTTTTTTACTTATTACATTTATAACAAATATTCACAATCATACATAATTCATTTAAAAAATGTTGGAAATAAAAAAGCCAATTGGAAAAGAGTATTTAATTTAATTAAAAAAAATATATTTTGTGTTATAATTATTTTTATATATTCCGTTCTTGAATGCTAGTAGTATAGATACTAATATTCTAGAAATGTGAAAATCTTGTTCTAAATCAACGTTTTCGTATAGAATATATATATTTTTATCTTAAGTTAATCATGCAGTAACTTATAATTATTACCAAAAACTAAAACTCATTAAATTCTATGATAAGAATTCAATTTGATCAATATCGAAGATAGAACACAAATAATATTCTTTTTTAAGCTCTCTTATTAACTTCTAAATACGTTCATTGTAAATACTAATCTATAGAAACAAGAGTTTTTTAAAAGATCTAAAGAATAGGAATAAAAAATGCAGCAAACTGAAAAATAATAAATATGTTTACTTTAGTGAAATATTCATTCATAAGAGTAGTTTTTCATTATAAACCTGGTATGGAAGTCACTTAACAAAATGAACTACGGAATCTTATCATTTGGTTTGATCTTGTATCTGTCCATTTAGTTGACGGGTGTTTTTTGTGAGGAATTTGAAAAATTTCGCTATCTAAAAATAAAAAATAACCTCCCAAAGCGGAAATTTAAGGTTACAGAAATAAAGATATACTTATAGCTTTTAATAAATTCTACTTTAATTTAATTTGACTCTTCAACTTCTGAAACATATGAAAAAATGTATAACATAGTATTTTGACGACTGATTAATTTAATTGTTGAGATTGTAAACAATTATTTAAAACTATTCCGTTAGTGGAAATTTAATGAATAGACCGACTCAGTATACATTCATCAGTAACTATCATTTCATTTGCTTACGTTAAACATTCCTCATTGTGTTTTTGTTGTGTACTTTTGTGGCCACATGGTTATCTTTGTATAACGAAATCTAATGGGTATACAAGAGTTGGTTTCTTTAAACAAGCCACGCCTAAGCTGCCATTTCTTCGGTTAAGCTTAAAATAATCTTGATATGTATACGCATCGTTTTCCTCTATTCGATTTTATTAGGTTTTAAGATTTTTTCCGATTTCCGAGAAAACGATAAAACATTTGGTAATATACTTTATATCAGTTGTGGTATAAAATATTTATTAGCTATGCGTCGACTAATTTTAATTTGGATAAAGTGATTATAATACAGTATATCGGGAATTCTGTTATTTGCAAGTTATATATCTTCATTTAGTTTATTAATTTATTTTTGAAAAGTTAATGAGTATATCACAAGTTTATCTATAAAAAAACAATGCGCCTACTAAAATATAATCCAAATAACTTGTTTATTCGTTATATACAGATAAATTAACATTTAAATACATGTAAATTAGATATTTGAGAATGCCTGTGCCTTTGCCTAAGTGATGAAGCCTGGCATGTACTGTTTGATTAACATCTGTTTATGCAAATACAATGTCATTGTGGATCGAAGCAAAGTATTGCGTAGCGAAGGATAGCAAATCGAGCATTTGATTGTATACTAACGATAATTCTACACCTGTATGTCATACATTAATTTAATTTGATTTTATTGTTCTAAATCATTCTTGGGGTACACGTGGATGTTTTTAATACGCGCCATTATAGTTTTAATTAAAGTTAAATACCGTATTCCTGTATCGATACACCTCGATAACAAGTACTGTTAGTCAATAATACTAACAATTTATCAACAACTACATAGTATCGTCAATTGACTAATCAATATTAATATTGATAATATTGCTCTATATGTTAGTAAATAAATTTCGAAACTCATGCCTGCTTTCAACATTTTGCAATTATAAAGATAATTTTATATTGAATGAAAGTTTATTTTTTTAGTATACAGCATATTTAGTAAGTTAGTAATCTGTATTTTGCATTTTTTTTCATGCTTAGTTGTAATTATCAGGGCAAATTATTTTTGTCGAGTACTGGACG